ATATCACATATATGTTCAGTGTCCTCTATTTTTTATCTGCTAACTTTCCGTAGCAGATCATTTTTTTCGATCGGTGTTTTTTTTTATAAAATCACCAGAACTATCATTAAAAACTATCAGGAACTATAGAACTCGACTGCATGCGACAAGAACTCTCTTTTATTTTTGATCTGCTAGAAAATGATCTGCTACGGGAAGTTAGCAGATCATTTTTTCGATTGGTGTTTTTTGGGTAAAATCACCAGAACTATTACTAAAAACTATAAGGAACTATAGAACTCGACTGCATGCGACAAGAACTCTCTTTTATTTTTGATCTGCTGGAAAATGATATGCTAGGTTTACGAACATCATTTTTTTGTTGTAAATTATAACGATTTACTATAACGAAAAAAATAGCATGCTTACTGGCAAATTTGTGCCTGGCTCTTTTCCGACAAAATACGCTATCGGATAAAGTCCATAGCCTTTTGTAGGTCGATTATCCAATGCAATCAAAGTGTAATTGCCCTCAGCATCCCCATTCTCATCCATATATACCATGTATCTACAGAATTGATTACGCATGTAATATGCGGATTTCAAGTGGATTAATTATATGGAATTGCTCACATCACAAGATTATTGTGATACGAGCTCAATATATATTGCAATTAGGAAATTTTTAAGCAAATAATATATGTACATAATTTTATTAATTCTTTTTTAGGAGAAATCAAGATAGATATTAACTTGCTTAGACATAGGATTGATGCTGTTAAAAAAATTTTCTCAGTTAGATATAATTAACAATTTTTCAAGTTATGTTCTCTCGGATTTTAATATACGCAATAAAGTACAAAAGTTTTGCTATATGACACACAATTTCGTCAATAGTCTATAACGAGATATCCGGCATAAAGAAAGCTAGATGAAACGATTGAAACGCCTTCCGTCTTCATAAAGCGCGAAACTATCGTTTTTAATTTCACGAACGAATCTTTTTTATCCAACACTTTCTCCCGTCAAGGAGTGTAATAATTTATTCTTAATTATCGAGCCGCAAATCTTAGCTTGACGATTTCAGATGATAAATTGCTTAGCTTCCGACTTCGATGACCTCGTTACGGTATGCAAATGGTAATTACTTCGCCGAAAATACATCGCGCAAGCACGCGTAGCACTTGTTCGGTCGGTCTTTTAGACGAAAGATTACCGAGTGACGTTCACCTCGTAAGGCGATCTGATTTGCATGTCGTAAAATATTACGATGCCCGGCGCTTGCGTCTTTATTTCGTGTTTTCTCCTGTACGTACCCCATAGCACTGCGATAATGAACACCGTGTAGGGCTGACACCATCTCCCGGCCATTCCGAGGATCCCGATTCTCGTTGAGCGCACGCAGCAGCGATGCTTCGTAAAGATGCACCGCGTCGTATAAGTATGCTGTCTCCGCTACTGCCTTGTAACACGTAACGATTACGCTTCGTGATTGGGGGTGAATGTTGTGGCACGGCATCGGCTGCCGCGTTTGTGCGATTCGTTCGAGAGATATCGCGTCTGAATTACATTGACGAGTCGTCGCAAAAAAGATGATAATGACAGAGTGAACGAGTGTGATAATTTCGAAGATACGCGCAGAGGGCTTGCCGTATGTAGAGCAGGTTGTTATTTATAATGCCTTCCGCAAGCATAATATCATAGTATGTGAATTATTATGCGTAATTTAGCGTGGGCTTCAATTTCACTCCGCTGCAACGCATGATCAGTGTATAATGTTTTAATATGAGTTAAACTCTTTTCGCGGCAATGGACTTGTTCGTTAATAAATTACTCTTAAAATTACTCTTGCAAACATAACATTTTCCATGCTATTCACACGGTAAATTCGGTAACACTCGGCAAACTTCAATCTTTTTTATTTTAAAAATAAGAAAATAATTCTGATTGATCTCTTTTTATGCTATGAAGATGAAGAGAATTTTAGAGATAGAATAAGATGCATATGTGTGTGTGTGTGTGTGTAATATACGCGAGGGGAAAAATATGCGCTCATAATTTTCATCATCTCTAATAGTCACCTGAACTATTCCTCCAACGTGTGCTAGCGGATTTGTAAAATTAAACGGCGGCTTCTGCCTGTACTCGTTAACTAGTCGAGTGAAGTTCATGAAGTTAATTGGAGTGGATGCGACGATACTGAAATAACTGCGATACGCTTTCACAATAGTCAAATTTGTTTCCTTTTGCCACAATCCGCGCAGGTATTTATCAGGTCGTTCCTCATCGTATTGCTCGATGTCAACGCCCACGACCCAATACTCGCCTATAAAATAAATGAATAATTATTCTTACTTGCGAAAGATAAATGACATGGCAAGAAACAATTGAAAGTTTATGAGACTACACGAAGAATAAATGCGATATTCAAATGTATTCACTTAAAAGCTTATATTAATAATGATTAGTAGCGACAAAGGCAAATTAACGAATAATATAACTTTCTTGTCAGTTATTTTATTTTTCTTCAATTTGACTATCTTAGACAATACTAGATTCTTGCATTGTGGTGCAAACGCGCATGATGCGTGTAACATTTGAGTTAAAAATAGAGCTAATGACAGTTATTCTTCAATATATGTACCTGCTTATGCTACAGCAAATTTATACCTTTTTCCAAGAGGTTCATTTCGTCCAGAGCCATCAAGAGACCCATGTGTTCGTAATAATGGCCAAGTATTACATAAACTGAAAACATACGTGTATCGTTTATATTGAAGAAATCGCGCCATTGTTAGAAATTCTTTCCGGTTTGTAATTTATGTGCACGTCTCGTGCTTTATCGAATCGAGATTACTAAAATCGGTCACGCACAGATTTATTTTTAGACTTCAGTCTTTTAATACATCTAAATAGATACGTGACTAATGAGGCAAATAACAAGCTGTATCTATTCACACGTCGGGACACTTGTCCCCATAGTATGCGGGTTGTTTTTCAAGTTTCATTTCATCGTGTCACAGTATAAATTAAAGAACCGAAATGCGGGTAGTCTATTTTGGATCGCGTGCGCAAGTTGATTAGGAAAAGATACACGTCGTTTGGACGCAACTGAACTTTTGAACTAGAAACAAAAACCTGTGCGAAAGGATTAATAGAAACCGATTTACTTGGGAAGTGAATGGTCGATAATGGAAAATGCCGTAAATTAAAATCATAATTTCTTTTAGCAATGCTAATGAATAATTATTTAAGAGTAAATGTTTCCATTACTCACTTCGCGTATCACGGTACGTGTTTCTAACATGTTCGTGGAACGGATTTGTCATGTGCGTAGCGTAATAAGGTTCGTTCCAAGTTCGAATGTTTACATTAATTCCAGCCGCTTCGAAAGACGCTAGAATCGTCGTCGCGATCGTGGACATTTTATTGAACTCGTATATACTCGAGTTCATATACATGAAAGTTACCTAAATAAAATATTAAAACATATTCTTGAAAAACAATATCTTGAAAAACATATTAGATAGTGTTTTTGCTTCGTGTTTAATTGATATTAAAGATACCAGTTTATACCAGAAATGCGCAATAATATACTCACTTTCGTCCAATTGAATGCTATCAACACTGAAAGAACAGATTTTGAAATTTGCGTATCAGGAGGTCGCGTTCTCGCGAATGTTGCAAACTCTTTCTTATCCGACGTTTCATGATGTGTACAAAACTAGAAAATAAAAAAAATTATTAGTGAAAGTCTTTCTTAAGGTTATTCAATTATGTATGTACTGTCAGTGGAAGTATTGGCAAATGTAATATCACGTATTCGTATTCGTTGGGAATAATGTATTTTCTCGACTGGATCGCGTTGTGCTTAGGAAGAAATTGTATATTCAGTTATCGAATCACGTCGAAACAAGTGAGAAACAATCGCGGAAAATACTGGAGATCATTTTTACCATTGTATACACGATATTGTTTCTCGATTTAAATGCTATCGCGATATTCCGGCGAACGTATCATACATTTCACTCTAAAATATAGATTTTACACCGTGGTGGCATAGGTGCCACAGTATGTACGTTATTTTAACAAAATATCGAAATTTGAACAATATAAATAATTGTGAAACAGTTTTTCATGTTACACGATATAATGGAGTATAAAAAACAACGAGAGTGCGAAAATTCAATTCATTATTTACGTATGATATCATTGGAATGTTGAATGCAGCTGCCATTCTGCCTTCGTGAATACACGTTTCCTGCGGTCCGATGTATGCACTAACGTTTTTTCTCCATAATTGTGCTACCTCGAGTATGCTAGTCTCTTCTTCGCCATAAGTTTCGGCAATGAGAAAATCCAAATTATGCCCTCGCCTACCGAGCTCACCTGCGTTTACCTGCATTTCAAGCACTGTTAAAAACGTTTCCAAGAAAAACGTTTGATATAAAAAAATCGAAAACTATTAAAAAATAACAAACATCGAACATTTACGAGAATTTTCTGTGGTAATATTTTTTAATGCACTGTGTAAAATGTATATAAGTCATTTATTAACATTCGCGTATCGTTATAAAGTTTATTTTAATTGCGCGATAGGAATTATGCAATTTTCAACAACGATAAACCAGAGATTTTTTCGCGCAACCGCAAAGCTCAACGAGTAATCATATTTCTGCGCGATTGGAATTGTTAAATTTAATTATACACTTCCGTAACATTAATCTCGGTCGGCGGCAATATATTACGGTGGTAAAGCAGTGGGAATGATTACTTGCCTCCTCCACGGCTAGAGTGATAGCGCCCGAAATCCGGAAACCGGGACGCTGATACTCCAAATCCTTTGGACGTCGTTTCGAGCCGGTGATGTAACCCAAAGTGAATGTTTCCGCGTCGACTTTATCATCGAGTAAAATGTGAATCGCCGTCAAAAGCAGATACGTCCTTTCCACATTTGCCAGTAGCATGCCCAGCTGTGCGAAACCTTTGTATTGCCAACATACATATATCGTATATAACTTTCGACTTTAGTTTAGTTAAACATTTCAAAATAGATTATTAGAACAAAAATCAATCAATAATATATAATGACATTTGCTTCTAGAATTTATGTTACATTATTATTGCATATACACTACACGCTTCCTATCACAATACATGCAATGATAATATAATGTCAAAGACCACTGGTAACGTAATTCCATTTAAATTAGCCTTTGAACCGTTAATTAATTTATGAAACAATGAGCTGCTTGTAGCATTGCAGACAAGATCAACTATAGCGGCGGTCGTTTGTCTTTCGTCCACTAGGTTTATCGGTAAGAGCATGAGTTTGCAGGTGGGTGCTTGTAATGTGGGTAATGGATGAAAGCAGTAAGCTCGGCGGGGTCGCAATAAACCCCATCAATCTCCTATGGTGTACCTAACTTCCTCTTCCCCGACATTTTCTGTGTTCTTGCGGGATACATGGAATTTTTTCCTCGCTGACATCACTCGTCTGCGAGAAATCGATTTTGCAAGAAAGTTGTTCATTTCTGTTTATAAGAAAATATTTTTCTCTTATATTTTATAACACTTTAGAATATTTTGTTGTATACTAAATTATTTCCAATCATTTCTTATGTACATCAAGCATACATCTTTTAGCAATGACGAATGCGATCGTTTCTTAATTTTTACTTGCAACGTACAATTAATTTCCTTAAAGTGCCGAGGAAAAGCGTAACGAACGAAGTATTCTGAAGTTTATTACCAGTCATGGGGACTCATAAATGTCTCCGAAAAAATATGTCTTGCGCTCGGTGGTGAGGCGTGTAACGATATATCACGGTGCGAACGAGCACTGGAAACCAGCGTATTCACTTCAGTAGGAGCGTCGACGTGATGTTATGATATTTATCATAAAATCAGCTCTCGCTAGCTGTCGGAAGTTCGTACGTGTCGGCTGTGCGCTCCGGCTTATTATTTATAGCGGGCTATTTTAATGATACGTCAAAACCGCCGCCGGGTCGTTGGACAAACCGCGTTTAGATGGTTCGCGAGATGTGTTGCGTAATATGACGTCAAGGCCGCACACGCAGCCACCGAGAGACGTTGAAGTATTCGCGGGCTCGCGGTCGTTACATAAAAAAAAAAGTCAGCGCGTCTCGCATTGAGTTACACCGGTTGATTGATAACCCTTTGGTGAGGCACACTCGGACGTGTGGGTGGATAATCATTTCTCTACGATCGTGGGAATGCCGACCGCAATCGCAGGTCAGGCGAGCGTGTTGTACGCGGTTGCGAGGGAAATTGCACTTTGACGGCGGCGATTCACTCTTCTCGGTATTCCTTGCCGTAAGGATCAAGGAACACACATAGCGAAATGTGAGCAAACGTCACGCGACGTGGAAGGTAGATAATTCGAGAGGAGAGTGCATGCCGTCGCGTATAGGTCTTGCACGCGCGGCTACACATTTGTCCAAAGGCAGCGAACCAATTAACCCCGACGGGGACTGACCGTTCGCTCTTAAATTGCCCGTTGCCCTGCTTTCACTGTTTATGAGTGCCCGTATTTACCGCCAGTTGTAAATTTCTTTCTAATGAGAAAGAACATTATCGTTCATTTATGGGTTAATTATCAAGTTTGATCAGCAATTGATAGTAAAATTTTCGGAATACTTAGCAATTAAAATAATAATTGCTTATATGTTATTTTATGTAAATTTATTTAGACGCACATCTTGTATACATGTTTTAGTCTTGAAATTTTCGCAATGATATCTGCTCGATAGCACGAAGTGCAACACGCATCGAGATAATCAATCGGCGTCGCGTTACATGTCTTTTTTAAGATAGGATCTTGCAAATTTTTTAATTCTTTTCCTTGTCAGATCTAGCATACGTATATGACAAACCTAAACTTAAATTCAAACTTTATTGAGTACATAAAATGAAAGTCTTCAACAAATAAACAATTTCTTTTAATAATCCTAGAAACGGATAAGAGTCAGTTTTTGACAGCTTGTTTTTTCGCAAAAGAAAAAAGAAGCACTAAAATTTTTGCAACATATTTTCGTGATGTTTTCAAGTGTGTGCTCGTGGACTTCGTGTCCTCGATTACCCGAGTCTCAAGTGACAAACTATGTATCTGCCATCGCTTAATCTCACGGCCTGCCAACTTTTGACAGTCAATTCTCGTCCCGTCAAAACGTAGCGCGGGTAACTCGCAACTGCGATGCAATGCAACCGACGAACTAACGAGCGGCTCAGCCGCTGAATTAATGTGGTTAACGGAGTGTGGGGTACAATTTTTTCAGGTTTATTTGTATTATCCGATTAAGCGATATATCTGAAAGATTTACTCGCTTTATTTACGACAATTGCGCAATTTTAATAAATTGCGAGAGATACTGCTAACATTTTTATACCAAATATTTATCGCGATCTCGTTTCGCTAGAGAAAGTTATGTATCGTTTATAACGCTTAACAAGATAGTGTTTCATGCCGCGTTCCATTTGCATAATTTATACGTAAATTAATTAAACATAATTTAATAAATATAACCTGCTGATAAGCACTACATCATCACAAAGGCATTAAATCATGTCAATGAATGTGACATGTATGATTATTATTCAGTGAACGAAGTAATCAAATATGAACATCCGATATCGATTGTCAAACTGATTGACGCAACATCCTATTCCTTGTAACAATTAACGTGACATATTCGCAGACGCATTCAGTTTATTAAACACGCTTCGCACAATATTAATTCTTTTTCGATTGGATACGTGTCGTTACTTCATATTGCGTGGATTAAAAGTAAATCGCTAGATGAATGATTGATCGCAGATGAATTTTTGAAAACATATCTGTTAGATTTTTTTTATTAATGCATATAAGATGTTTAATTTCAATCAACAAGCGAATTATTTCGCTACTTGTCAAAACAACAACATGCTACACACACGGTTTGCAATATGTAGAAAAACAAACGTCACGTTTCAAATATTCGTCTTATAGAAGAGAGAATATGTCGAAATCGATTTATTTATTCACAGCCTTCATCTAGCAAAAAATAAAATCTGTTTTGATTCGGCGTTTTGAGTGGTACAAAATAAACCGTACACGCGTTGACAGAAGCCAATGCGTGTATTTACGTATCGAGTCATGAGTGCGCTCCAGGGTTAAGCCGACAGGACAGAGAAACTTGCCCGGAGGGTGACTGCGGCCGCGAGAGAATTTTAATACCGATTTACATTTTGTTGCGAAACCGGAGGAGCACGCGGACGCGCGACGACGCAACGAGTTGTTAGCGATCACACCTCCCCTGGACGGACATTTTGACAGCGAGCCCAACGGCGCGCAGACCTCGTGACGCTAATTACGGTTGACTAATCCAGTCCGCGAGTGTTCTTTTACCCGGCGTGATGGCTGGCTATACGTTACGTCGTTCGGGGGGAAAAAAAAAATGCGGGCAATTGATCGCGTTTTATGCGGATCACTCGTTTTAGACTTGTCGTTCGTGATTTATGACTGTGACTTTTTCCTCGCTGGCATTTGGAAAATTTATGGCTAGATTTTCTTCTCTGTAACGCACAGAGAAATGCAACGTGACAAACTACCGATAGTAGAAGAAGTTTTGTCAAAATCGTGACGTTTAGAAGATTAATGGAACCATATCTATTTGTAATGCAAATTCTGTCTAGATTGTTGAAAAATGAGAAAATTATTCGTAAGCTAGAAGCAACAAGTTACTGCTTATGCTTATCAAAACCGTTTATTGCAATTATCATATATTTAATAATTATAATTAGTATGATAGTTATAGAAGTGATCGTGATAAAATTTTTACTTATAAATTGAAAATTGCGAGAAATACAGAAATTTTTGCATAGTAAATTAAAAATATTTTATTCATATCTAAAAATTAATAATATTCTATTATTTCATCAATCAGAAATAATTACATTAGTTTTTGTTGCGAGTTAGTTTTTGTTGTGAGTAGAATAAGCAATTTTATTATGCGTTTGACCTATATCCACCTTTTATCTCGGAAGTAAATTAATCTTAAGTGTGAATCTTTAGAACTCTCATAGGATATTGGAACAATTGGATTGAATGGCCAATCTTTTCGTAACAACGATTAAGTGCATTATCGACCATCACCCTGTTGTATATCACCCTGTTCCTCTCGTTTTTCTCATCACGCGAAAGAAATCGTGAAAGGCGTATTGGGATCGAGGCCGTAAACGAAATAATATTAAGAGACTGCAAAAGCGTATTTATTGCACCGTCGAACAATCCTCGGTCCCATTTGTCTTGCCGATTCGGTAAGGCGACGTATCAAGCGGAGTTAATCTTCGTAAATCCGCGGTAATCTGCACATTATGACCACAATTTAAAACCGCGCCGTATGTGGTTAATGAAGCACTCATTAGGACGGAAGCGAGCAGTAAAGCGATCGAAAGTATCTGCTGCGTGCAAGATAGCAGATGAAGCGTTGAACGATCTTTTACGAAAGGATTTCTTATGCGATAAAAAAGCAATTTTAAATTTCGGTGAAATTTCGGTAAAAGCAACAGGTGAATGTAAGACATCATAACACATTAATCATATCAGAAGATCTATCTTCATCATTTTTCATTCTCGGATTGTAAAGCCACGATTTTCTTATGAAAGGCGTGGAAAAAATTTGATACTTTTTGTATGTTAATTTTAATTTTCTAAATACACGGCAATATTTATTATCTTAATTCAATAATAAACAAATGGAATAGATTAATGGTGTGAAGGAAGTTTGCGTGACTCAGACTCGCAATGTATAACAAGCTTGATATTCAAATCATGCATTTCCGCTTGACCTAAATTTTAATTACCCGTGATTATCATATCGTGGAGTTGTAAATGTTTTTTTTCTATGTTTTTCTAAACTTATCGAAAACGTGCATTGCAAATAAATGCAGTTTGGAATAGTTTTGTTTTTCGCTATTTGTTGAAAAATTTTAATCTTTTAAGATTTGTTTTTAGCAAGATCGGGCTTATATCTTACATATAGATATTTTTGCAATTTGAATTTTATTGCGATTTTTGCGAAAATTCTTGATTTAAAAATTTCTATGAAATAATATATTTTATGAAATAAATATATAAATTTTCCAAGATTTTGTGAACAATATTTTTAGCTCATATAGTCGTACAAAAAATTGCTTTTTTTTATATATATTGCAATCTTATTTGTACAAAAATCTTGTTTTGCATTATTATTAATTAGTGAAAAAACTTTTAGAAAAAGTCTTGGCAATTTGCAGTCTGTTTATAAAGGTCGCGAGAGAAAGTAATGTAGCATGTGTGTGTGTTACACGTTTTTATTACTATTTCTTTCATGGATTGAGCGCCTCGAGCATTCTTCAAGTGTGTTATAATTCGCCATAAGCATTCGCGTACAGTATATTACACACACATATATAGCTGCTCTATTACTCATGTGGGACGCGTGTGGAATGCACACATTATTAACTGTACTATATTTAGGTTTTCGAAAAAAAAATTATGTGGAATAAAAACATAAGTGTAAAATATAACGTAATTTTGTAATTATATGCCTGACGATAAATATTAATAATAGTAGGCAATGATTTCATAAATAATCAATTATTGTTTATTATTGTCGCCTTGGTGCAAAGTACAGGTTTGCGCAAACAAAACAGAATACATATAAAATCGTAATAGAAAAAAAAATCGTACGCGAGAAGAAAAACTATAAGAGAGTATAAATTACGCGATGTTAGATGTTGCATCATGATATCAATTTGCATTTAAAGCGCGCGTACTTCAGTATGCAATGCGAGCTCGATATACGCGTTTGCACGACGAAAATTTACGGCCTTTACGGGAAAATACGCGGATAGAAAAAGATTTACGCATGAGTACGTGACCTTATTTCTTGCATGCAGATTTTATCGCATCATGTTGAATGGAACCTGATAAATCTTATTCAATGGAAACGTTTTTTTCTTTCTCTCAGACATCTTTCTATCACAAAATTCTATGGAATTCCAAATCGTGGTATATGAGAAACCTTCTAGAAATAAAATCCGTATCCGTATACGTCATCATGCTTCTATCTAGAAAGTGTCTCACTTCGAGTAATACCATCGAGATTGCCAACGTGTTATTCGATTACGTCTTATGCAAGATAACAATTTCGTTCTTTCGTGATATAAATATCATAAAGTGTGAAAGCTATAATTTCACATAGAACTCTATATCGATTGTATCATTTCTGTTACATTTTTTGCATAACAAAATACTATTTTTAATTTATATAACAAGATATCGATGAATAAGAGACCGAAGAAAAAGTTTCTAATTCGCAATCATATAGATTATACGAAGCTGATTATTAGAGAAAACAAATGATGAAAAAATCATGACGTGACTCACTGCGATCATGACTCTTATATATTAGCTTTTAAGAAAGGTGATCTCGAATTTGTGTCACACAGAGTGTTACATAGCGGATTTTAGACACGCCCTTGCGCCTTGCGTCAACGTTACGTACGATCCCCAGGCTATGTCTCTAATTTCTGTTCGGCGTCGATTTTCTAATTAGTCCCTCGTCTGATCTACTTCGCCGAATAGGAGCGACAAATTAACATGGACGTTATTAGCGATAACAAGGTGGTTTGCCGAGAGAGTAACTTATGTAAACAATGCATAGCTTGCAATTCGTCAATGACTTGTTGCATTCGAAAGTGCACCTATTTATATCGTGCAACAGTTACTGCATATACATGGTTGCGATACATAACTGGTTATGCGACAGTTATTGTCTGTGAATAGTAACGGGTTAACTGGCGAACGTGAGACCGACGCGACGTATTGGCAATTTATTAACGTACACTCTCACAAAGGCAAAGCAATGTGATCGGAAGTGAGTAGCGATGATGATTTGAACTAATATCAACATCTTCCATTATTCTATAATAGTTTCTTATTAAACATTGCGTCAAGTTAATCGTAAGCATGTAAAAATAATAGCAAATTTTTTATAATACGTAATTTGCTATTCAGGGATAGTTTTATCACTAAAAAACAAAATAAAAAATTAATTAGTCAGATTTATTTTTAACTCTTTGATATATGTAAAGTGATGGAAACAATTAGTCGGTCAAATTTCGATTCACAATTACTTGATGCTTTTGTCAGATTAAAAAAGTTTGAAGTTGGATTGAAAATTCCATTTGTGTTAAGAGAATTAACACGTGAAAAATGTTTAATCTTCTTTATGCTCATTTACTTTTACGGAATTCATTAGTCGAGTTATGAATACTCTGTCATGTTGTCACCTTTCAGTAATTGAACCATATTACTCTCGCACTCCTTTAACTCCCTCTTAACGAGGTAAATGCTCGCGTTGAATTTTCACCCAATCTGGATTCCCCGCCGGCGGTAGATCCGTAATCTTCAGTGGCGAGACGTGCGCTTTATGAGAATTCATTGCATCTCTCATGCTTCCCGACATGGAATACATTAATCCGACGATAGATTCGGGACTCCCACAGATGAATTTCAACTCGGTATCTTTTATTATAATATTTGCGAGTAAATAACGACTCTTATCGCAAATATTGACGTTAAGTAAAATGTGGTTTAGTTATTGACTCTGATACGTAAGATAAAAACAATTTAAGAATGATTGTTTGTCAAATAAATTTATGCTTGAGAATTGTTATTTGACAAAAAATTAGCTTCAAAGAATTCGGAATCTTTCCAATTGGAAAATAAAAGATAATACTAAATTATATGAAGAATTTTGGAAGAGGCTATTTTACGTAAAATTGTGCCTTCGATAAGTGTGACAAGAAATTCTGACTTTTTTACTCGATTTCGCGATACACATCCGTTTGTTATTACGAGTCCATATGCGAGGATCCGGTATTGTGATTTATTAGTTCGGCTTTTCATTGGCACGTGGCACCACTTCTGTCGAGAGTCATTCACAACTCCTGAGAATTTCGAGTACCTTGCACCGTTTAATCTCGCGTGTCGCATGCGATCTCTCTGATGTCTTTCTTGGCATCGTTCGCCGGACCGATCATCATATGTCGCGCGCGCCACGCATTTGTCTGTTTTCTCATTCCGTGCGCGCCGTCGAACTGTGAGACTCTCTTTCGAGAGCTCTCATTTATTTCTTCGAACTATTTTAACGTTCTGGTTGGATCTAGGTGGATCGTAAAATGTATTCCCAGCTTTTTTGTGGAAATGAATTAACTGATGTGAACGGCCGCATCTAATTTCGCTTAAAATCAAATAAAATCGATAGATCCGCGTTTTGTTCTCAGACGCATTCTTTAGAGATCGGAGATTTCAAAAAGTTGTATTACTTGTAATACAATGTAGTTAAAAAATTACTTCAGATAAATTTTTCATTAATAATGAATAGAAAAAAGAGATTATTATTATTATTATATATAAACTTATTTAGCGTTTTGTGACTGACTCTTCTTAAATATCTAATGTTTAAGATGTGATATGAAGATGTTAAAATATGAAAATGATAAAGAATATGTATATCTTACGGGGTGAAAGTAGTTTAATTAGGATAATGCTGTAGAATCTGAAAATGTCTCATTTAATTATTTAATAGGTATAGCTCACTTACCTCGCCTTTCGTTGTATCCGTTTGTGAATTAGTATTGCGACAAATTTTAAAACTTTTAGCGAAGCGTCTTTACTTCAGGATTATTTGCGCCTCATTTCTGAAGCACGTTCTCCGCCTCATTTGCTTTGGTACTTAAAAACCGCGCAGGTGGTCGTAATGACAGAGAGATTGGTGGGGACAAAATCCTCTTATCGAATCCTCTTATTTTCAGCCAGCACAACGCAATTCCAAATTCAGCAAGTCTTAAGTGTTTTTCTTTGCTCTTTTTCTTTCTGCAACGCGCGATAAAGGAATAAAAAAACTGGCTAGCTTGTTTAAATTTTCTCGGTGCAATAAAATGCACGTGTCGCATACAGGGGTAGCTCTAGGAAGGGGCTGTATAGGTGCGATCGATTTGCAAGATTCGAGAGTTCGCGAGTTCGCGACCGTGTCGTGCCGCCGCGTCGACGTGAGAACAACGGTCGACAGTGATCGGAGGCGCGCGCGGCCAGACTGAGTCCTCTCAGTTCGTCCTCTTTCCCTTGTGCCTCGTACGTCGACAGTCGTCGTCGTCGTCGTCGCCGTCGCCGCCGTCGTCGTCGTCCCATTCACACTCCTCCGTCGCTTCGAAATCGCTCCCAAGGCGCATGAGCGCAATCCACCGACAGGCGGTCTAGGAAGGGAGCCCCGCGGGAACGTTGCTCCGTACGGCGCTTTTTTGCGGTAAAGAAGTGCGCTCACTCGTGAACGGAATGAAATAACGGATAAGACTGCCCCGGCGAAATGCGGTACCTTATTTTTTGGTTGCATCGTGCGAGTACTTAATATTAGCATATAGCTTTAAAAAAGAACATTGGATGGGCAAATTAAAAATGTATTTGATTAGTAATTTTGCAATTACTTATAATTGTATCATGGATAGATTTATTTTGTCGCAGCGTGAAAATTAAAACATCTTAATTGTATTTATCAATACGATACACACACATTGCGGATTTACATTTTTTATTGCTTTCTTTAAATATTTATCCGGTATGAAAAAAGGATTTTACAACGTCTGCTAAGTTAGTCTAGGATTTGTTTGAGAGAGAACAATTGGCACGGATAGCTTGTGCTGTCAAATAATAAAGCGTAATGCGGCGAAGAAACACGTCGGTTTCTTAATAGAGTTAGCTCATTTTTGCCAAATCGAATATACGTGATAACAAAATCAGAAAACGATAGAATTGTCCGAGAAAAGAGTGCGATGTGACGTTTACGTAAGCAGCACCAATCTTAAAAAAGCCACCCCTTACTGGCGTGGACGTAACGCTGCCGCATTCTAGAGTTCAAATCCCTCTATATTTCGTACTGAAGAATCGACAATAGAAAACCCGGAACGCATACAAAACGTCGCACAAAACGTAATAACTGAGACCGGGAAAATTCACTTAGACAGAGATTGTCGAAACAAAACTTTTAATGGCAGAAACTTCTGCATGCAATGACCCAAAAATTTTCTTTAGAAAATTGGAAATAGAATATAAATCGCTAAATGAATATATAATCCCACTATTTTCTAAATAGAATATTGATATAAATGTTAAAATCTTAATCTCAATAGAAGTTTTGATTTAATAAATTAGTTTTATGTGTAATGTATATTTGTTAAAAAGTTAAATAAGTTGTCTATTTAGATTTTTATTTAATATTTTTCTTTTAAATTACTTAATATTTGATTTTGCCGATGAACAAATGTTAGATATTTTGAAGAAATTAAGAGTAAAAGAATAGAAATAAGATTAGTTTGGATGTTTGGATACTTACATACTCTGTAAGTTGTTCGTGAACCTAGCATATCATTTTCCAGCAGATCAAAAATAAAAGAGAGTTCTTGTCGCATGCAGTCGAGTTCTATAGTTCCTTATAGTTTTTAGTAATAGTTCTGGTGATTTTATCCAAAAAAACACCAATCGAAAAAATGATCTGCTAACTTTCCGTAGCAGATCATTTTCTAGCAGATACAAAAATAAAGAGAGTTCTTGTCGCATGCAGTCGAGTTCTATAGTTCCTGATAGTTTTTAATGTATAGTTCTGGTGTATTTAATAAAAAAAACACGATCGAAAAAAATGATCTGCTACGGAAAGTTAGCAGATAAAAAATAGAGGACACTGAACATATATGTGATATGCTGGCCGCATATTGATAGTTCTGCTAAAAATTAAACAGTTCTCGTCTAGTTCTGAGCAAGTACATTGCTTTTCCAAAGAGTTCTGACGACTAAAATAATTAGAAAATTTTTTAACAATTATTTTACCCGAAAAACACGCATTTTTTAGTATATGTGTGATATGCTGGCCGTATATTGATAGTTTTGTTAATAATTAAAGAGTTTTCGTGTAGTTCTGGGCAAGTACATTGCTTTTCCAAAGAGTTCTGACGACTAAAATAATTAGAAAATTTTTTAAACAATTAATTATGTTCGTGAACCTAGCATATCATTTTCCAGCAGATCAAAAATAAAAGAGAGTTCTTGTCGCATGCAGTCGAGTTCTATAGTTCCTTATAGTTTTTAGTAATAGTTCTGGTGATTTTATCCAAAAAACACCAATCGAAAAAATGATCTGCTAACTTTCCGTAGCAGATCATTTCTAGCAGATCAAAATAAAAGAGAGTTCTTGTCGCATGCAGTCGAGTTCTATAGTTCCTGATA